GGCGCCCTGGGCGGCGTGCCGTGGGGAGGGGGGGGGGGGGTATGGCTGCTCCGGGACCCCCGGTGCGATGGCGGGGATTGTGCAGGGACCTCTGTGCGACGAGGGGAGGGTGCACGGGGACCCTTGTGCAATAGGAGCCGGTGTGCAAGGCCCCTGTGCAACGGGGGCTGGTGTGCAGGGACCCCCGTGCGATGGAAGTGGTTGTGCAGGGACCCTTGCGTGATGGGAGTCGGTGTGCAGGGACCCTTGTGCAATGGGGGTGGTTGTGCAGGGACCCCCGTGTGATGGGGACAATTGTGCAGGACCCCTGTGCAACGGGAGCTGGTGTGCAGGGACCCTCGTGCGATGGGGGTGGTTGTGCAGGCCCCTGCCGTACTGCTGTGGCCAGGACAGAGTTATTTTTCTCTGCAGCAGCCTTGGGTTTGGCAGCAAAACGGCGGTGTCTGATACCGCCGGCGTGTTTTGGCTGCTGCTGAGCGGCCTCAAGGCCACCTCCGTTTCCCAGGTGGCTCCCACGGTGTGCGGGACCCCCCCCTGCAGTGGGTGCGGGTGTGCGGGGACCCCCACGCAGCAGCACCTGGGGTTGTTACAGAAGAAGTTGGAATAACTGTGCTTTTCTCTCTGAAGAGTCATTTCGCAGGAGCAGCTCGGTGCCAGCGGCCAAAGGAGCCAACTGACGCCCGAGGCGGCAGGAGCCGACCCAGCCTCGGCTCGCTGATAAAACCAGCGCTGCAAACACAGAACTGGCCGAATCCGGCAGATGGGAGTGGAACGAGGAGATGAGGAGCGAGGGAACAATTCATGGAATCACAGAATGGTTTGGGTGGGAAGGGACATTTAAGGGACATCTAGTCAGATGGGGCAGAGGGGTTCCAGCCCTCCGATCATTTCCGTGGCCCCCTCCAGACCCGCTCCGGCAGGTCCACGTCTTTCCCGTGCTGAGGACCCCAGAGCTGGACGCAGTGCTCTGGGGGGGTCTGGGCAGAGCGGAGCAGAGGGACAGAACCCCCTCCCTCGACCTGCCGGCCACTCAGTCCCTGAAATTCTCCCGTGTTCCTCTCCCCTGCAGCTGTGGGTCGGCTGCCCAGCAAGGGGGTGACAGCTCGGGGCTCTGGGGGGGTCCAGGCCCAGCCCCCCCCAGCTGATGGTGGTGTCACTTCCAGAGCCTCTGATGGCAAAAATCAACCCCGTCCCTCTGGTCTGGCCTCAGCCCTGAGCCCGCTGACACCGAGGATGCAGTTGTGCCCTGGGTGAGTGCCGGGGGATGCAGAGCCTTTCTGGGCCCCCTGTCCCGTCCCCCCCAGCGTTCAGAGGAGTGGGGGTCCCCCCAGGAGGAGAGCGTGGTGCAAGACTTTAAGGGGGATGAGGGCCAGGGGGACCCCGAGGTGGCGGCACCGGCTCTTCCCAGTGTCTCCCCAGGCACCCACCGTGCTGGGGGGGGGTGTGGGGGTGTCTTGGGGCTGGGGGTGACCCTGGGGCTGGGGGGAGGAAAACTGGGGCCAGGGAGGGACCCTGGGAGTGGATCTGGGGGACATTTGGGGACAGGAGTGTTTCTCGAGAGGTTGGGGACACCATGTGGGGGATGACCCTGGGGAGGTGGACGGCACCCTGGGGAGGTGAGTGTTACCACAGGGAGGAGGGATCCCACCCCCCCGCACCCACAGCCACCCCCGGGGGCAGCCGGGACCCTGACCCACCGCAGGACCAGGACAGGGACGATGGGGACGCACCCACGGACACCGCACGGACAATAAAATCGTTGATGCTGCCGCTTGTGGCAGGGTTTCTGGGGTGCCGTGGGCCCGGGGGGGGGGGGGGCCCCCAGCCCTGCCAGCCCTTCCCGGGGTGTCCCCGGCCCGCGGGGCCCCCCCCCCAGCCCCAAGCCAGCGGGAGCCGTGTCCTCCCGGCCGGTGGCCACGCGATGGCGGCACCGGCCCACGGCCACTCGGGGACAAGGGCTGGGGACCGGGGTCTGCAGGGCTCGGGTGGGGGGATCCGGCGTCCTGCGGCTCCGCTCCCACCCCGGGGACCCCAAACACCCCCGGGGCAGGCGCTGTCCCCAGCGTGTCCCCCGACGGTGGCAGCCGGAACGGCGTGGGGGGGTGGGAAAGTGACAATTGAGGGTCCCCACCAGTGGCCCGGAGCCCCTCACCGCTGCGGGGACAGGGGACAGACGGGGACAGCCAAGGAGCGATGGTGGCACAGCCCCCTCCCCAAGGGTCCCCTCCGTGTCGTCGTCCCCCCACCCGGGGAGGCGAAGGCAGCAGCTGCACATCCAAACCCAGAGTGTTTTATTGGGGGGAACAGGGACCCAACGATCGGCCACGGGGACGGGGACAGCAGCGGGACACCCCGACACCCTTGAGGGTGCTGGCATGCGGGGGTGGGGGGACACCGGGGGGGGCATGGGGGGGAGTTGGGGGGGGGGGGGGTGTGGAGGAGCCAAGAGGTGCGGGTGCGCGGGGCAGCGTGCGGTGGAGGGGGGGGCACGTGTGTCCTCGTGGGTGTCTCATCACACCCATCGCTATCGTAGGGGACGGTCACACCAGCGGGAGCTGGGACA